ACTGTTGCCATCAACATGTTTACTCGTTCTATGACCACACTCAACAGAACTGAATTATTGTGAATTCATATATTAATACTAGACACCTTAATGATAATGTGGACCAAAAATCTTTGTCATATCTTTATGTTAACATACTTTACTAACCTTTTGTTTTGGAGCTTTGATGCAGCCATCATCTTCTCATGGTGCAAACTGGAATTAAACCGCTCTGGTCATGTGACAGTTTGCACTAACCATGTGACACTGCACGTTTAATTGAGACCCTTTATTTTTTCCATATTTGCAGGAAATGCACTAAAACATCAGTCAGTAAGGTTTTTAGAGCTTTATAAATGAAAACCTTTTTTACGGTCACTATTGTGACCGGTGGGATTACATGGGTTTAAATATATGGACAACATGTTCAGTTCAAGTTTATTGGACCCACTTTATATTAAGTGGTTTTAACAACTATGTACTTACATTTAAATTAATCGTTTGGTACAATGCACTTATTGTGTACATACATGTTTTTACATTGTACTTATATTTGAAAAATACCTGCATGTAATTACATCTGTAATTAATTTCTGTAATTACATTTATAATTACACTGTTGACCCATCCCTTACACCTTAACCCACCCTTAAACCTATCCATACCACCAAACCTGTCCCTAACCTTACCCGTATCCCACCTCAATAGCAGCAAATGTGTTTTGCAATACAATATGAACACAATAAGTACATTGTACTTATTTTTTGATGCAAGTACATAGTAGTTAAGGCCACTTAATATAAAGTGCTTTTCACAATGCAAATCGTTGCAAAGCAGCTTCACAGAAAATGAACATTTCTACATTACATATAGCTTATTGGCGGTTGCTATGTTAAGGTGATGTCCATATTGCAGAAATGTAGTCAAAATCATGCAGTAAGTTAATGACATGCATTCAAACAAACAGCGAACACTATTAACTATGATTAAATGTTGCAATCAAACTTGAAGATATGGTAGTATTGTATGTTGGTTCAGGGATATATGAGGTCCTCAGATTATATTCAAACCAAAACAACTAATTTTGTTCCAGCTGTAACAGTGCAAATCTGTTTCTTCATATAAGCTGTTTCTTCATATAAGTCAAAATCTAAATCTCACAAGTTTAAACATTTATTTTCTGACTGGTTTTCTTGGTTTTTACCACAGATGAGGATCTAGAAAAATCTGACTTTGGATCCTCTGCTCTGTCTACAATTATCAATGTGCTGATATTAATGTGTGTGGCTGTTCTCAGCATAACTGCACTCATCAAATGGAGGAAGAGACGAGCTGCTGGTAAATGATCTGTAGAAAGTTTTTATTCTTAATGTGTTTAGAGAAAAGCAAGCTAATGTTTATTGCATCTGAGGAAGAAATAATAGAAGATAAAATAAAATAAAAAAATGAACCTTTATCATGGTGTAACTCTTCTTCAGGACCTGGCTCCAGTACTTCACATCAAAGTGGATATTCACCTACATCAAGTAAGTTTCTTAGTGGTTAATAGAATGTTATTTTTTTTACATTCAGCAACAAAATACATTTAAATTACATTATATCTTAACTTTAAATTGTTTCTCTTTTTAGCTTCAGAACAAGAAACAACTTGAAAGATTTATGGCCTCAAATTAGAATCTTATAAAATACTATTTCCTGCTACTACCCATTCAGGCAGGTATTGCAAGTGGGTTATGCCAACCATCTCAATATGTATTTGATTACAGTTCCAGAGAAAGTAATATATAGTACTGAAAGACTTTTTGATATTTTCATGACTGCATTATACATGTCATATCATAATAAAATTCCAAATAAAATTTTTCATTAAATGGTCAAATTTTACTGGCATGGATATCACTTTAAATGTGGAGAAAGTTGACAAGATTTTTCTTGCATTCATCTCAGAAACCTGAAATTTGAACAGTGCATGTAAACTTTTTACAACCACTGTATTTGTAGGACAACTATATGCATAACTAACTAATGCCAAAAGAGAGAGAATATTTAAATAATCTTGATTTCAGTCAATATTTCAGTAAATACTATTTCAGTAAAATCTCAATCCTCTATGATGCCTCATTGTCTATGTCCATCATTGTGTGTGTATTTTGAGTGGTAGTTTCTTTCTGCAGTTGATCAGGGTTGTGGAGTGACAAAGCATCTTCATAGGAATACGCGCACACGCATACACGCACACACGCACACACACATTTAAATTAAATGAAAAAGAGAAAAATACATGATTGGTAGGAAATCAGAACCATTTACCCGTTGAGTGTGTGCAGACAGTTTGTGTAGTTTGATGGTTGAGCTTCAGAGAATCAGCAATGAGGTGCTTTGATGGTTTGAACAAATAACCATTTAAGGATAAAAGGGTTCTTTAGGAAGATATGGTTCTAAAAAGATCTGTTACTGTGTGTAAAGAACCTTATCTTTTTTTAGGGTATCATATGAAATGAATAACATCATTCATAAGAGTATTTAATCTTATGAATCACCTAAGACCACCTTGACAGAACATTTGTTATTTACAAAAAAGAGGGCCTTAGCAAACTTCCAAGGAGAAAAAAAAAACTTCTTTACAATGCTACAATACCAAGATATCAATTGACATCATATTTCTTATTTTAACTAGTTATTTCAGTTTTATTGAATTAAGGACAGATATTTTAGGAAACTAATGGGAGTTACAAAATTAATTGTGGTTAATTACTCAAATCTACTGTCATGGACAAGTGGGTCTTTGGGGTCAAAAATATTCAGAACCACTGCCATTGTAGATACACTGTACACATCTTTGGATGGTCAACAAACTACAATGCTAAACAAATATTACTTTTTCATAAAAAAAAAAAAAAAAAGATAAAAGTTATAAGTTGTTCCTCAGACAAATCAACTGTTTGGAAAAAAATATTTAAGGTAATTGGTCACAACAAGGCTACTTTTGGTATCTGTAGGGACATGCATTTTTCTGTGGCAGTATCGGATGTCTTGGGAGTGAAAACAGGTTGGGAAAGAACAATCATAAAACACAAATGTCCTTTTGAACAGCAAGAAAAAAAAAAAACAGTAGTAAAGCAATAGTGTTTTTTTTTTATATAAGATAAGGTCATACATTTGTTACCTCTGTTACATTCCCTTTGTGGTTTCATCATGTGATGGTCATTTTCAAAACAAACCAAATGGCATCCACCAAGCAAATGCTAAGTTACTGTATGCATGTATTGCCCTTGACTTTTAATTGGATGCCTTACATAGATTCTTTTCCATCATCCACAGAAGCTGAAATCAATAAAACATTGCTTTGGTTTCATTTCTAAAAGGTTTAAAATTCTAAAATTAACCTTAAAATGAACATATTGCTGACTTGATATAAAACATAGTATACTCACATGGAGTAAGGGAGTATTTACTCTGTGATGCCTCAGAGCCTCGTTCTGAATAAGAATAACAGTTAAACCGGGATAAATAGAGAGTTACAGAAACACACACACACACACACACACACACACACACACACACACACACACACACACACACACACACACACACACAGTGCATATGGTGTCTAAAGGAACTGATGTTTGGTTTTGAATGATGGTATAATGAATTAATACCAATTCATTTGGTATAATGAATTGGACTTTACAGAACATTTACCAGCAGCTCGTCTCTTCCTCCATATGATGAGTGCAGTTATGATGACAACAGCCACACACATGAACACCAGCACACTGAAAACTACAGACTGACTGAAGGATCCTGGGTCAGATTCAGCCACATCTGAAATTGGGGTGAGTTTAAAAAAACAACAACAAAAGTGACATTAATAACCGGAAGAAAAAAAAAAGCTTTAGATAGATGGAACAGTGGAATAGTGGCAACTGATTTGTGTTGGCTTAATAAAGTAAGAACTTTTGTTTTGCTATTAAATCTAATGGTTTCTAGTATACTTTGTTGTTCAAATGGGAGTTTTATTTGATTAATTGTTGATTGTTTTATTTATTTACCATATGCAATGTCCAGTTTGTTGTGCAGACTGAGGTGCTTCATTGTGCAGTTGTATTTATGTTCCTCACATAGTTCTTCTTTACTGATCACCAAACTCTTCCTCATCTGGTACATTCCGTCTCCGTTGGGCAGAATCTCTCCTCCTGTGATCTGATCATCATCCACAGGCTGACCATCTCTGAACAGGGTCAGGTTAATGTGACGGGGGTAAAAACCAGTGGCCAGACAGCTGATCTGAAGCCCTTGAGAGTCTGTGAGTGTCTTCTTCATGAGTCTGACTCTGGGTTTCACTACAGAGAAGTACAAAAATTGTTGCAAAAACTTTTCTTTTTTTTTTTTTTGCAGCAGCAGCAGTCATGAATTTTCAGTCATGTTCTTTTGTCTTTTCTATTTATTCTAGTAATTCTCTCACCTTTTCTCATCACGTTGTTCTTTTTTAAATTCAGATACCGCCTCAGAACTTTAATGCAAATAGGATGATAAACATTTTCATACATAAACTTTACACTAAGCCATTTTAGTTGGTTCCATGTTATCATCCATGGCATTTTCATCTGAATATCATGTTTTTCCATGTCAAAAGTGAACTCCTCCATATTTTGTCCACTGAAACCATCCGAGAAATGTAGTGGACCTGGTTTATCATAGTTCAACAGTTCACATCCAGCAAGTCTCTGAAGAACTTGAACACCTTCACATGAATGGAAAGAAATTAGACACTCTTTGTTCATCATATTCATATTCACAATATTGCACAACATAAAATGACTTTTTATGATTATTCTCTCTAGTACGTTGCTTTCTCAATTCTACATCTAAATATTTCAAGAAAATAACAATACATAGAAGCTACATCTGTTATTAAATGTTTTCTGTGTTAATACTGTTATAGAGGCTAGAGCTCTCACCGTCTGTGTGATTTAAGTGTCCCTTAAGATAAAATGCTCGATTTTTCATGCTGTTATACACATCACGAAATATTGTATCACCATCATTTTGCTCTTCATCATGGTAGTTTGAATCACTCTCACTGCAATGGAAAATGCTCCACGTGGTTGAGTCATAATATGCTATTTGCACATCATCCAACATCACCACAACACTAAACTCGGGAAATTGTGTTTTTCCAACTATATATGTTGCCAAAGCCATCAGTGAGTGAGAACCTGTGGATACACAAGGACAAGCATATAATATTTGTACAGTCTCAAATTAGAAATTAACATTTATATTTAACAAGCATTGAAAGCAACAATGACTGTGAGAACATGCAAACTCCACACAGAAAGCCATCTTACAAGACAAAGCAGTTAACCTTTACCTATACAACACCTAGATGACAATATGTGATATACAATTTTTTGTTTGTTGATTTTTTTTTGGGGGGGGGGGGGTCTTTTTCCCTTTTATTTGATAGAACAGTAGTTAGACAGGATTGGTAAAGACTGGCAAGTTGGCGCTACATGTGCTACATGTCTACGTGCTGCCCACGAGGCTATCTGCACCAATGTGGATTTCACTGTACAAGCACATGTACAGTATGTGTATTCATCTGATAGATACACATAAACTATATCTAACAATGTCATGGAGCCCCAGTAAAGTTTTTATTCATATTGGGAACAAAAGGTATGGTCTAACCTTCTTTCACTCTTTATTTGGATGCTGCAATTACACTAGTGACTGAAATATTGACTTTTACTCAGCGGTTTAAAGTCTAAGCAGTAACAAGTTCCGTTTGTGTAAGATAGCCTACAGACAAAGGCATAATAGTTTTTAAGAATAAACCATACTACATACTAACAATCCTATGCGAAAAACAAAAACATAATTTGCCTGTGTTGTGTATAGGGTAGAGTGGGGGAAAACGCCCCCCTTAAGGACTGTGTATTTTTTTTTTTCTTCTGTGAAACAAAAGTTAAATGTGTTCAGAAAAGTTATCATAGTTTTAGTGACAATGACAAATTATAAACAAAGTATAAAAAAATGTCCAGAGTTTATGTTATTAGATTTTTAACAAAAAATTAATTTGTACCAAGTGGGCATTTACCCCACCTATGGGGCAAAACGCCCCCATGGGTGGGGTAAAATGCCCCCCAGTCTGACAAAGCAATTTGCTTTAAACATTTACAGCAAAATCAGAGTACAGTTTTTGCTTAAAATTAAAAAGAATATAATCAATAATTATGAATTACAAAATTATTTGAAACATTTTGTTAGCTGATGCTAACTGGCTAGCTACCTGATGCTAACTTGAGATAATTTTTAAATATAAAATCCAAATATTTTGCATTCAAAATATTTATTCAACCAACTAGTTAGAAAACATTTGATGGAAAAATAAAGGATTTGATGTTCAGAACAGAATAAATACAGAGCTCTGGCATGAAACTCTAGATGGCGCAGTCCGATAGGTCTAACTCAATCTGACCTAATTATATCATCACATGGCACAGCTGATTGGTTTTCTCCTGTATCAGTAGCCAATGAGCTCGCTGCTCAACATTCAAATACCTGGCTTTTGTTTGCTGTAGCAGTTCGCAGTGCAATTGGCGGTAGCAAGTCTCGGTACTTGCTCTGCCGCAGCAGCGTAGCAGATCTATTCCGCCAAGACCAAATACATGAACTTTGTCATGTACATTACCATGCCAATCCCTCTGGGAGTTGTCATGACAGAACTACAGTAATTGCCCATTGCCTTTGGGCAATTAAACTGGGTTTAATGTTTTACTCCACCCGGCTGGGGGCGTTTTAACCCACAGAGTATGTTTGAAAAAAAAAAATTATGTCATTCTGAAAATATAATTATATTTTTATTAAATTACACGTACTCCCTATCTTCAGGCCCTGCTGTTCTCATATCATATATAACTGTGATGTTCTACAAAACAACAAGCTTTAAAACACTTTTTTTTCTTACTGCTGAAAATTAGATAATTTACTGTGAAATCCGTTTTCTCTCCGGTACATCACCAGTGTAAGCTTCATGGTGAAAGCTTCTACATCACTCTTGTCAACGTAGTCCATAGTTACAATAAAAAATTATCTTGTGGTTATTTTGGGAAAAACAGTAGGGGGTATTTTACCCCATGGGGACGTTTTCACCCACTCTACCCTCTGTGTGAAAACAGATTTTTTAAAGTCTTAAGTCTTATTTTATGGTTGTTTATATATTTGACTGATCAGAAATATCAGAAACATGTTGGCAAGCTCTTTCAACTGGGTTTAATGCACACATGTATCAATGGACTTATTAATGAAATTTAAAAAAAAGAAGTAAATGAACTTACCTGCATTGATAACGGTCAAAAATGACATCAAATACACAAGTATAAACATTCTTTCAGTTATTTAATCCTGGTGTACAGACGTTTTCTCTTAACATTATTGTCTATTGTTCCTTAGCAGCAGTTCAAAGTTCATTTGGCACATTTTCAGCAGGGAACAAAGTGAAGTGTTTTTCACCTACATGTGGAAAACACAACAGGGTGTGAGACAGAACAGACAATGCAGCACAAGCAATAACAAAAACTAACTAACTAACAAAAATCTTTGGCTCAGCCTAATTAAATTGTTGACAGTGATGCTAATTGAATGAAGCAAAGCCAAATGAGATCAATCAAATAACTCAACGGAAACACTACGAGTTCACCAATAGCAAGCACCTCCGTGAAGTTGGCACCCCATAAAAAGAAATAATCACCAAAACTATGCCATTCGTTTGTGCTACGTTTGTGCTGATTTGTGCCGCGAAAACGAACATTTGTGCTGGTTTGGTGTTTGAGATATTAAACATTATTTTTTGACCGTGTGACGTCACTCTCCACCCCATGTTTCCAAAATCGCGACAAACAAGCGCAGTTCGTTTGTGCTCGATGTGTGCCCGTTTGTGCCGTTAAAACAAACACTGCATCTATTTTCCTTTCATTTTCATTTCGCAACTTATAAAGCGTTAAAATTTGCATGCAATTTACATATTAAGACTACTGTTGGAAATGGCAAATGTAAATTATATAATTTAATTTTAATTTTACTTTTGCACCAAACTTTGCACGTATGGGTAATGGAAAATGTAAATTTAAATACAGAAATACAATGCCATTTTGAATATTGCATTGCCATTTTGCATATTGCATTTTAAATTGAATTTCGCTACCTATATGCTTCCATCTTTTTCACCTTGCTCCAGGAGACATTTAACTTAATTTCAACATAGTTTACCCTTCCCATAAATTCCTGTGAAAGGCTTGTTCAATCTCATGCCCATTTTCAGTTAATTGCAACTAAAATTATTCACACGAATGGATTAACTAAACATCTCTTTTACACATTTAAGTGGATGACCACAATGAAATTAGGTTATGACAAAATATTAAAGAACTGAGTCAATTAGAATTAAGAATTATGTTTAGAAATGTAACATGAGAAACAGATACACATCTTACTGTTTTTCCAGCATCTCACAACCCCCTGTGAACTGCAAATCAGCTTTTCTATGATATGCTTTATCTTAAAGGGGTCATATGATGCTGCTAAAAAGAACATTATTTGGTGTAATGAATTGTTTATGCAGTTTAAAGTTCAAAAAACTAGAGTGAGCTGAGGCGGCGGGGTCGAGAACGGCGCGCCCGGCGGATGCGACGAATGAGCGGCAACCACATGTGACGGACCCCAGGCTGGACTCCGCTTTGTCCACGGTGAAAGTTGATGTATTCCCTCGGCGACCAGCACAGATCAGCTCTAGGCATGACGATGCAAATTAATGCAAATCT